GCTGAGAACCTAGAGACAAGAAAAAGTCTTAGGCCCCTAGACAGTAGATACGCTGCTTCTTTGAAAAAATATACACATATGTTTAATAAATATTTACTTCTTCTCTGAAGCAAAAATGAGTTTAAAAAACTGGTTTAGTTATTAGGGTAAAAAATCTAACAGTCAGGATGGGAAAAAATATACTAATTTGAGGTAATGAATGAAGTTATGTGGGAACAGATGGAAGGCACTACAATAGACAAGGAAGAAACAGAAATTAGTGCTCAAACATGGTTCTCTTCACGAAAAGATCAAGAGGACATGAGATCTGGCCTAATGGTAATCTCATTTGCTTTTCATTTTAGTAGAAAATGAGCTGATACTCTGCACAAAACATGTAAAAGGAGTCTTTACATGTTCTCTTCAGAAAACATGATTTTTTTTTTAATATGATAAGGCTGTTGACAGAAGGAGTTAAAACTGAAGAGATGAGCATTCTTATCTGGGAAAGCAAGATGACTTTAGAAGTTGCAGGCAGACCAGACAAATTTACAGAAATAGCCAACATAAAGCCCCCGGTTAAGAAGCACGTTTGATGGACTCTAGAGAGAGCAATATCTGTTATCCAGTCTCAAATTTCACTGTCATTTCTTCCTGTTACAACTTTAGCCTCAAGTCCTCATATCTTCAATAATATTTGTTAAATACCAACAAAGAAAAGCATTTAACTGAGCTCTCTGTACTTTCTAAAGGGTACAGCTCTCTGACGATTTCAAATGTGACATGGTATTAGAAAGCCAACACACTCCACAGTCCGGAACCTAAACAGACTTGTGGTTCTGCAGAAATCTTGTTTAGCAGTGTTTGCCAAATTCTACCATAGGGGGCAGCACAGCACATGGAAAGAAAAGGGGTTTTTTGAAATTAGGCAGATATATAGATTAAAATTTCTTGTCACTTACAGTGTGATTTTTGGGTGAATCATTTGGCCTCTCTGCAACCTCAGCTTACTTACTGTCATAGGAACTTGCAAACAGTATGGGGTTAATAAACACCAATTCTTGACTGCCAAAACCCTTGACTGTTAACATTAGAACAATCCGGAATTTCTAATGTATATTATTGCCATTTGCTCCCCTAAGAACAAATCTTTGGTTACCAGGAGGGGAAAAAAAGACTGTCCTAAGGATTTTGATAGTTTTCAAAGAAAAAACGAATGCAAAGAAGGACCAAAAATAGTTTTTCTCATTAATATCATATTTGCATATACAGCATGTTCAGGAATGACAAATAAATAAGCCTGTCCACAGAGTGTGTTTAGGAAAGTGCCAAAAAATAACATTTGAAAGGTAGGCTGAGTAAAACTATAGAAGGCTAATCCCATATTAACATTAAAAAATGGGATTTTAAAAATGATTATTATACCTCTGCTCTTCTCAAAAGTCAAAATTTAAAATGACTTGAAAGAAACCGTGGCCTAGGGTAATGTCTATAGAAGTGTTTTATGTTTACACTGATCAAGAATTTAAAGCTGCTCCAAAATAAAGTATTTCAAATAGTGAGGGCTTTTGCCTATTTACCATATTTAAGAGATTTATACACATGGGTGACTGACATTTTCTTTTTCAGCAACACAGTAATAGGTGACATTTTTAAAATGCTGTTGAAAAATGAAGTTTTCTGGGAATGATCCTGAAGAAGAGTTTCAGGAATGGACAAAAGAAAACAGGCCAATTTCAGATTGAAATCTACTTTGGAGAAGGGCAATGCTGCCTTGGCAATTAAATAGTTTTATATTATTCTTGCCATATTTATGAAGGCAAATGACCTCAAAATAAGCAATCTATCAAAAGTGTATACACCTGCATCCATATATACACATACACGCATAAACGCATATACACATGTATACCTGTGTTGTTAGTCCTCAGTCTACTCCTGTGACCCTGCAGGTACAGTATAATTTGTATTCATGACTCAGGAGTCATTAGGGAAGCTGGCTTAAATTCAGCATACTTTGTTTTTAAGGAGGTAACTATATAACTATATAAGATATATCTAAAAGTTGTATTTACAGTTTCACCTTGAAGAGAAAGGAAAGATAAAGCACCTGTCAAATCTGTGTACTGGAAGGTTTCCTACAGAACATTATGATGACTGCTCCTTTTGGAAAAAGATATGTTTTGTCTAGCTGGCTTCCTTGTTTTTAATTTAAAATGTGGTTGAACTCCTTGACAGCTCTGTGTTGTTCAGCAAGACTCAGTTTTGATTAAACTTCTTTCTGAAAATAATCCAATTAAATACTAGACTCCCATTCCTCCACTGAACTCTCAGAAAAAAGTGGAGAGATACAAACTGCCTCTTGATATAGCAACCTTGAGAGTGAGAGCTCAAGAGATGAGGGCTAGAACCTGGGTGAATTGCACTAAAAAAGGTCTAAGCCTTACCAACGGAGCAGGGCTGCAGCGGTTGGTGTTAGAGCCATTGGCTGAGATTCAAAGCTCTGCTTCAACACCTTGAAATGGGGATGGTAAAATGGATGAAAACCACTACTTGAAGCCAGTTCCTTCTCAGATCAGATCAACTAAACAAAATCTAAACTTGCAGACAGGCTAGGGGAATTAGGGATAAACATGCTTTAGAAAGAGTTTCAGTTTCACAAGCTGAAGCAAAAATGGTAAGGATAATTCAAGTATTAAACCAAGTGTATATGATATTTCATTCCAGGTCAAGTTAGGTTAAAGGTGATGATGTTAAATCTGTTTGTATATTGTTTATGGACTAAGTCAATGATTCACTGTAAAATTTAAAAAATAATAAATAGAAGTAAGAGGATAAACTACTACAGACATTATTTATTTTAATGTCTGTAAAATAAGTAAGCTTTTACTCAAGTTAAAATCTTATTTTCCAAAGAATCATTAAACTCATAAGTCTACTCTACCTGGATATTCATGATTTTTATCTAATTTTCTAATGATAAACAAAGAGCCAGAAAGCATGCAAACATAAAGATCTACGAGCGGAGAAGCCTGAAGGAAAAAAAATTGAAGTTCTGTTACATACCTCATTCAGAGTATAATTCTTTTTACTTTCTCTCCCCTTTAAATAGACCATGTGATAGCAACACTGCCTAAAATATTAATTAAAATAAATTCTAACTCCAGTGAAAAGTACATAACGTCTTATTGAATTTCCTATATTTTCAACAGCACCAAAATACAGAGAAAATAAAATTCAATGTAGAGGAGAAGCAGTACTTACTTGACTTAGTAGCTAGTCAGCAAGATCAAAGTATGTAAAGAAAACTCTTATTTCCAACTCTGGTTATGATTTTGTGGAGGGTGTGTGTGTGTGTTCCTATTCTCTACGACTTAAAAAAAAAATTTTATTACGGAAAACTTTAAACATACTTAAAAAACTACACAGAATAATACCCATGAACCTCCATGTCCCTGTAACCCAGCTTCAACAATTAGCAACTCATGGTCAATTTATACCCTCCTTCCTGTTATTCCCTCCAGTATTATTTTGAAGCAAAACCCGGAAAATATATAATTTCATTTTGACTATAAATTGATAAGGGGAAAAGAGAATATAATAGAAAGATTGGGTAGTGAGAGAAATAATGCGTCTTCTTTCTCTCCACAATCCCCACCCGTTGCCAGGACCACAATTTTAAGTGATATAATATCCAGGAATGTTTTGAGAAAAGAGGCCCACATACCACCCCAAAGAACAAGCACCGGCAATTACAAATTTACTGCAGCTGCCCAATCACTTCTTCCTTCCATCTCAGACAGACTTTACACTTCGGCACCTCCCTGCCTATCCAGTAGCAAAGATAACAACTGGGACGCAGTGACAGTATGACTGGCTGCAATATTCCAGTCCTTAATCTCTGGAACAGCCTTAAAGGACTGTATCCAATAGAACTGGTTTTCTCGGCACTAGATTAATCACCAAGTCCCTGAGTTGATAAGATTCCTCTAACTGTCTACCTTTTAAAACATGTCTATGGCTAACTCCACGGGCTACCACTAGTTAAATGAGATAAGGAGGCAGATACAACACAGCTGTCTCCAGGAATGGGCAGGGAAAGGAAAACTGCAGGCAAGGGAAGTAGTGGCAGAAATCAGACAGAAAGTTGGGAATCTAAGTGCACCTTCACATCATCTCCTACCTCTCACAGTCAAAAATCAACCAAAATGGTCTGGTTACCCTATAGCAAATATTCAAATCCCTTTGAGAAATAAATGGAGTGTTCCACTAAAATGAAGTCAGAAAGAAAAACCAATTCTTCTGGTGTTCCTGAATGTCTTAATTTTAACAAAATAACTAAAGGAAAGGAAGCAGTGAAGATAGCACCATGCATTCTTGTTGTTTTATAATATAAAAAAAAGTTTAATTATCTTAAATATGCCAGTGTCTAGTACTTGAACTTCTAAAAGGACCTACTCAGATTTCTCCAACAACCAAATATTAATATTCAGCCTGTAATTTCATCTTGTTTAATTACATAATGAAGAGAAAACTGTTTACAAAAGATAAATTTTAATCATCATAAGAAAACTAATTTGAAGTAACTTCCAATAACTTGTGCCTTGGAATAACACCTGTGAATATACAGCCCACCCTACCAGCTGCATTTTGTAAATAAGAAAAGATTCTTCAATACTTGATTTACACAAATTATATTTCATCCCAACCCTCTCCACTGCATACAACCTACTTACCCCTGTCCCTGTCATACAATTTCTAACAAAATTTGATATTAATGATTTTTCATAGTAATAGGATCAATTTACCTTCCCTCCATTTCTAACAACACTGTCCCATTATCAATATTTCTATTCCTAATACTTTCTAATAGCTTCTGTAAAACAAAAATTAGTTCTTTTTATTATTATACATCTGAAGATTAATTGTGCAGTAATACAAAGACTGTGAAGAAAGTTTCATTACAATTAATATGGACATGTAAAATTTCTCAGGTGGAACAGCAGACTAAATATACTCACTTTTGTTGTCTTTGTATAGAATGGGGAGGAGAGTTGGTGAATAGGCAGGTCCACGATACTACTAGAGTTTGTGACACTGTTACTATGTGTATGTTCATCTTCCCTGCTACTGTCATCAGACTGATCAAAATCATCACTCTCCTGGTCCATTTCCTCTTCCTCTTCATCCTCCTCATCTTGTTCACCAGCATGTTCTTCATCGTCCTCTTGTTCTTCTTGGTTTCCCGAGGAGTCCTCATCTACCGAAATAAACCGATTATTGTTTTCTTCCAATTGTCCTTGCTGGGAATCATTTTGGTTTCCAGGTCTAGGTTCTGCTCCAACAACTTCACCATTCCTTGCAGTGTGCTCCTCCTCCTCTTGTTGTCTTAGCTGGTGCTGCTGCTGCTGCTGTTCCTCCTCTACCACACGATTCATCTGTTCCTCATCTGCCTGGCTTGAGGAAGGGTTACCTCTCAGAGAGCCTCCAGTTCGTCGTCTTTTGCTGCCCACAGAGAGCAGTTCCTGATTCATTTCCAAAAGCCAGCTTGCTACTTCTTGGACCTTGGCTAGACTATCAGAAGATGCAAAGGTTTTCACATTCTGTAGGGAAAAATGGAGTGGAAAAAAAAGGTTTGTACAATCTATATTATCTTCTACTTTTATGTAGTATGTCTATAATCTAAATTTCATTAAAGATTGTAAAAAGTATTTGATGCCATTGAGGCACTAAGATAGTTCTTTAGGAATCAATATAGAAAGTTTAAATTAGAAAAGTTATGAGACTTTATAAAGACATACACAAAAATCATACAGTAAACAGTTTTATCTGTTTAAAAAATATCCTTTGCAAAAATAATTTCAGAATGAAGCTTTATAGTTTAATTTAGTTGCTCTGATTAATAAAACATAATTTAACCAATAAGACAATTTTAAATTTTACATCAGTAGTTTGTAAACTACATCCTTTGTAGAACTTTCACAATATGTTAAGAAGTATATCACAAAAAAATTATTCAATGCTCAGTTAAGTTCAGGAAATGCTGAAGTAAACCAAGATAAAAAGGCTTTTTTACCTTAGGAATTTCTCAAACTTCTCTGATCAGAGAACCTTGCCTTTAGACAGTTTTCTGACAGATACCAAGTCATTATGATTTTCATTTTTCACAATGAATATAAATCAAATAAACACCAAATAAGAAAAAAATTTTTTTAGAAGGAAAAAAGTTCATAAGTTCATACCCTCTGACCCAGTAACTCCACTTCTGGCAATCTATCCTAAGGAAGTAACCCTAAAATAGAAAAAGAAATTATGCAGAGGATGCTCACTGCAGCCTTATCCACAGAAGCAAAAATGAATGTAAATAAAAATAATCAAAATCCAAATGTTCAAGACAAACGAATCCCTGAGATGGGATATATATACTGCAATCCCTAAATATGATGTTCATAAAAATATTGTGAAAACATAGATGTTGATATTATATTACGCTAAGGGCAAAACGCAGGAAATTATATGATCACAACTGCATAAAGACTAGAAGACAATATTTCATATAAATTGCATTTAGGTAGTGGTATTATATGTGCTTTAAATTTATTTTTTACCATATTTCTCAAATTTTATATATCAAGTGTGTTTACTTTCACGTTTTTGAACATAGGCTCTTAAAATTGATCTGATGTAGAATCTTCATAATGTTCCTTCTTAAATTTCATCCTTTGCAAATATATAGGACATGTTCGAAGTTACATAAAATAATGCCAACGTATTACACAAGTTCATATAAAATTCCTTTTAAAAAATATTTAAGATTTATGAGATATAAGAAATACAATATTCATTTTCTGTCATGCCCCAAGAGTAACTACATTAAAGCAGTCTTATCTATTTTTCCAACTCTTGCCACTAGATGGTCGTTCTCCCAAAGGTCCATAGTCTTCATTGCAAGCTTTGAAATGAGATCAAGAAAGTCTGAAAGATAGTTTTAAAATAGCAATATTTCATTTTCTTTTCTATAACCTATACTTTCTAAGAAATAAGCTGTAGGGTAGGGGAAAAATTTTTTAATTCTAATTACACTAGAAGTGTAAGTGTAAAAAGAGAAGAGCTCCAAAGATTGAGCCCTGAGGCACTCCAACATTCCTAAAGAAGAGGAGTAACCAGCAAAGATGACTAAGGAAAGCTAGGAATGGGTGGTATCCTTGAAGTCAAGTAAAGAAACCATATCCAAGAGGAGAAAGTAAAGAATGACTGTTGCTGATACACCAAGGAGGATGAAACAAAGAAATGACGGCTAGATTCAGCAACATGGAAGTCACTAGTAATAGGAGCACTTTTTGTTAGTTGAAGTCTGAACACAGTAGATTTAAGAGACTGCGAAAAGAGAATAGAGATGGTGAGTATGGACAAGTTAGGAGTTTGCTGCAAAAGGGAACAAAAGGAAGGAAGGGGTAATTGGTAGGAAAAACAGTGTCAAGAGAAGATTTTTGATTCTTTAAGACTGGAGAACTAGCAGCATATCTGTACACTGACAAGAATGATCCAGCATTAAACAAAAAGTTGACAGTGCAATCGAGAAAGATGAAATTGTGAAGTGACGTCCTTAGGTAATTAAAAAAAAATGATGAGAAAGAGCACAAAAGTGAAAGAACTGGCTTTCATTAGGAAAATAGATATTTCACTTATGATAATAGATGAAAAAGCAGGGTGGTATTATAGGTACTTTAAATTTACTTATCACATTACTCAATGTGCAAACAGTTGAAAGTAGGTAGGTTTTTATAGTAGTGGGAGTCTTTGGAAGTTCCCTACTCAGTACTTCCTTCAATTTTTTTTTGCTTTTCTTTGTAAAGTAGGACGTAAGGTGATCTTGGGAAGAAGAAAGCTGAGAGTGATCTTGGGAGAGGAGGTGTTAGAAATTTGAAGATAGAGGTATGAAATAGTCCTCCAGGGAGAGAGGAAGAGAACTTTCCTTGGTGCAGAAGATTTTGATGATCAAACGTCATCAATAAACCATGATGTGATATATATTAAATGTGACTTTTAAAAGTGGTTCTTGTTTACCACCCAGGCAAGCGCAACACAAAATTTCTATTTGAAGTAGAAAGTAGGGTTCCTTAGAAAAAACACATTAAATACATCATGTTTTCAGAAGATAAACTATAGAAAATAAAGGTAATGAAAAGATTAACATCAAAATCTTACTAGCTAGTATTTGTCAAAGATAAACTATGAAAACATCACAGGAAAACAGGTTAAAAATAACATGTTGAAAAACACTGACCTACACAAACGAATATATATATGGTATCCCAACATATACAAAGGTAAATCTGCTATTCATAGATTTTCTTCAAAAAGAGAATCAAAATGTTGCTTTAGTAACTGTATCTAAAGTCTAGCTCTCCTAACAATTAATAAGGACATTTTTCACTTGGATGTTTACGCATAGACCAGCATGAAATCAGGGACACTGACTGGGATAACACAGGCCCCCAATTGTTCTCTGTGTGTCCAACCTAATAGGCATATTTTTACAAGATTGAAACAGGTTAAGTGACATATTAAGAGCAACTTACAAAGTGAAAAGATGAGAGAACAAAGGTCATAAAATGAATCATAAAGAATGTGTGTAAAGAAGGGAAGAGACTGTCGGTAAGCAGCCAGACTACCAACAAATAGAAAGTTTATGACTAGTATTTCTAAAATAGTACCAGTACAGGTCATCACTGAATACTTCTGTTACCAGTTATGAATTGGTAACCAAATATTGAAATACCAAAGATTGAAATCACTATCATTGCGTAACTTTAGTGTTATACTGGAGGAACAGAGAAGAAAGTGTCTTAATTTAAACTAATAAAGTTAGTTGACTCATATTTAGAGCATGGCATGTAAATAGCTTCCAAAATAATACAAATTCTTATAGATAGTCCTGGTCAAAAATGGTAAATCCAAGTAGATGAATCAGATTTAAGGTATAGCCAATATAAAATACACAATGACAGAGCTAACAGTCAGATTACAGGAACTCCAGAATATCTGAAGAAGCTGAAAATACCTAATTGATAGACTTATAAAAGTTTTTCCAAGTCCTGTATATATTATATTGGATTTCTCTGATCCATTTTGAGAATGGAAAATGGGAATAAACATATAGAAACTAAGGAGAAAAAACTTCATTTTCCTCAGTATTCATAAATTTAAATTTAAGCAAAAACCAATATTTTTAGGAAATCAGTTTTCTAACAATCTATTAAATAAGCGAATGACCTAACATAAGTATTTATCCAATAATTAATAACAAATTAGAATAAACTACTAAATACTTTTAAGGGGGGAAAAGATTTTTAAAAATATAAGTCCCACATAAACAAAAAAAATTAAATACCCATAATCTAAAACTTAAAACCGCCATATAGGAAAAGTTAATAAATGAAGTATTAACAAAAGAATGCACATTTTTGCTTTTAAATTCTAATTCTAAACTCTTTTTTTTCTTTTTAAAGATTGGCACCTGAGCTAACATCTGTTGTCAATCTTTCTTCTTCTGCTTCTGCTTCTTCCCCAAAGCGCCCCCAGTAGACAGTTGTATATTTTTGTTGTAGGTCCTTCTAGTTGTGCTATGTGGGACGCCAACTCAGCATGGCTTGATGAGTGTGCTAGGTCTGCACCCAGGATCTGAACTGGTGAAACCCTGGGCCGCCAAAGCGGAGTGCACGAACTTTATGAGGATGGACTATACCTACTTTATCTAAATCTTCTAGAGAGACCACTGCTTGGAATGCAAGATTCACATCGTATTCTGAGACAACAATGATGAAGTCACAGCATTACCTATTACTATGGTTCTGGTAATTTAACAAAGGATAAATGATCAAATTTAAAGCTCTAATATAGATATTCATCACTAAAGTTTTCAAATAAATCAAAAGTTCAGATAGCCCATATAAAATAAAGTTGGACTCTGTATAAAGTAATTGCTGGAAAAGAAAAGTGGGGAGGGGCATCACTTTTCCCTTTGTAAATGGGGAGAACAAGGTTCTTCCCATAGCATCTTTCACTATTGTGTGAAGTCCAGAGAAGTCTGAACCTAAAGGTACCTAAAGGTAGAGAGGCCTACAGTCAGCTCCCAGGATGAATGAGAAGTATTATAATAATTTTACTCTTCAAAAACATTCAAAAACGAGGTTACTGAGATAAAAGACAACTACTACGTGACTTTCCTCAAGTCCTAGAAAATACACGGTAACTTTTAGTCATTATACCTTATTGATTTGGTGGCACTTCAGACCTAATTTCAGTTTCTCATGAACTATGCTTTCCAAAAGACTTGATTATTCAAAACCATTTGACCCGTATATCTTAGGATGCTTAAAGGAATTAAAGTGGGCGTAGTATACATGGTAAACAAATTGAGTTCTAAAAGCCTGTCTCAGAGTGAACTAGAGTTGTGAGCCTCAAAAGAAGATACCAAGGCCAAGACTAACCTTGAAATCATAGTGGACGCTGAGGAATACTGGTTACATTAATAAAGCAAGGGGTAACTTAAGCAAATTGTCAAAGCCTCCAAATGATTGTGCAATATTAACATTTTCAG